CACAGTTTAAGGTAGCAGTGCTTTTCTCACTGTGATTTCTCATGTATTTTGATTCATAAATACACATACATAAATCCACGTATTTTGATTTCTCTTTTGAGACCGAATAAAAAATTCTCGTTGACATTGAGAGTTGAATAAAAGCTCACCTCAAAATAAAATGAATTAATAAATTTATGGAAAATTTTACATTGCATATATTGAGCAGAAGAGTAAACTGAATATACTTAATGGAATTAATAATTGGTAGAGTTGATAGCAGAATAAAATGCCTTAATTGCAGGTAAACAGTAGATCTTTTGAAGTTTTTCTATGTTGCGTAAAATGCAGATTTAAATTTTTTGATATTGATTGTCATATAAATGGCAATTACTGTTTTATTTTGCTCTGAAATGAATGGTTAGTAATAAAATTCTGGATGAGACAACCTTTAACATGCGCTAGAATTTACAAAGTTTAATTTGGTGCTGATTTCAACAGGTAAATTTCATTTTACTGAATTTTGCATAAAATAATACCAATGAACCATTGCAAAATTATTTTCAGAACTTTTTTTTTATTTAATCTAAAAGGGCTATTAGTTTTGAAATGTGACTTCATATCATCAGTCGTAAACTTGTTTCGCTTTTCATTCAAGTCTTGTCATTTGGGCAAAATTTAACATATTTACCTTTAAAATCTAATATATTATTGACTAACAAGCCAAGCTATTTAAAAAGCATTACACACAGTTCTTAACAATGCTTTTTTTTAATTTTTAATCTGATTGATTTAAAATGCATTTAATTCATGATATCTAATTGAAAACATTTTAATGTTTCTACATAATTACATGATATATTTCTTCATTTTTCAAATATATAGAAGACATAACTTTCTGGTGTCAGTATCTTATAAAATGTTTTGCTATTTCCACTGCCCTGCCATCTGTATTGATAATCTATGCATTCATAAACTTTTAGCCTCTTTGAGTGACTGCTAAAATCTGAGGCCTTTCAGATTTTTTTTTTTTTTTTTTTAATTGTGTGAGCAGAAAGATAGAATTTAGAAGAGCTTCTTGAGTTACCTTTTGAATGATATAAAGAATTGTTAACATAATGTCAAATTTTTACAACTAATATTAAAATATATAACAAAGCCTGCAGCATTCTCATGTTACGAAAACATATTTATTTATTCTGAGGCTAGGAATTTATTTAGTTTTAAAAATACAATTTATTCCTTTTAACAATTTCCCCAACAGTGTCATCAAAACACTATAAATTCCTTACATGTTTTAAAGAAAGATGATTCATTTATGTAAAGATTATTAAATGGGTATTTTAATTATTCAATTTTAATACAAATTAACTGAAATTAGAGACTGATTTTGTAAAATAATTTAATTATGAATAATTCAATTTGGGGGGCTATTAGATGTTTAAAAATGATCAAAAGATTTTAATATCTTAAAAATAAAAGCAAAATTTTCAGTTTTATTCACTGGAATTTTCCTCTGTATATACTGGGATGTGACACTAAGCAGTTGAGAGTATGTATTTAAGAGGTTAAAGGGATATTGTCAACTAGTGTTTCAAATCCTGATAACATCCCATACGCTGTCGGTGGGACGTAGATAGGATGTCCTAAGAATATACTGGGATGTGACATTAAGCGCTCAGGAGGATGAGTTTAGGAGGAAATTGGGGGATATTACGGGGTATGAGGATGTAGTAAGTAGGACTTTAAATCTAATAACATCCCATATGCTGTCGATGGGACATAGATAGGATGTTTTTAGGATATAATGGGATGTGCTTAGGAGGTTCGTGGGATGTCCTGAGGGATGTAGTAAGTAGGAGTTCATATCCTAATAACATCCCGCACGCTGTCGATGGGACTTGGTTAGGATGTCCTGAGGATATCCCGGGATGTGACATTAAGCACTCGGGGGGAGGTGTTTAGGAGGTTCGCGGGATATTCCGGGATGTCCTGAGGATGTGCACATATCCCGCGAGCAACATCCTTGGGATATCCCAAGGATGTTTTTGTGCTATGTGGGTAGTTAAAAATAAATAGATAAACCTCACCAGCTTATCACATCTTTGGACAGTGGACGCCACAGAAATGAGTGACATGTGCTGGCAGAGTAAGAGGAAAGCGGGAAAGTAAGTGAGCGTTTAGCAGCAACGAGATATATAGTTAAAAGTTTCTTTAATCTGACTGGAGGGGAAAAAATATGCTTATTGCTACGCTTTTTTAAGACGGTATGATGCGGATTAATTTTGAGGTATTATAAACAGTTAGTAGCTTTGGGACAGGAAGGGGACGTAGCCAAATTAGAAATAGAAGGGACTATTGAAAAATTGAAGTTATTAGTTTTTTTGTTTTTTTTTTCCAGATTTTATATCTTACATTTATATTTCAGAAGAACTGAGAGATCAAGCTTGAAAGAGTTTTCTTGTATGTGGGACAGCTGGTTGAAACTAAAAAATCTATACTTTCATCTTTCGGATGCTGTGAAAACTTAACACGCGAGATATATAAAATGAAGCCTTCTATCGGCCGATGGTAAAGGCGCTAAACACTGTTAGTTTGACCTGGATTCGAATACCGGGGAAAGCGCTGGTTGCATGGGCGTTTTCATGGTTTTCCTCATAAGTAACGTGAATCTGAACCACTTTCTCTTAGAAAGTCCCTTGGGAAAATACCCCTTCCCTTAGGCAGATAGTCCTCGTGTGCTTTATCACAATTTAAATAAATCAAATTAAGCATTAAATGGAACTTTGGTGTGTGATGAAGTAATTAAGATGAACTTAATGTAGTTTATGTTATACTTCATAATATTTGGATACAAGGAAAATTTCAACAATTATCTTCCATCTCCTTCTCTATACACTAAGTGCGTATTTACTATAATGAAAGTGAGAGAATGAAAATGTTTTCGATTTATCATATTTTATTTCACTATAATGAAGATTATATAATGAGAAAAAATTCAATATAATAATGACTATATTGTCAAAGAAAAAATATAAGAAAAAAGAATATAAGAAAAAATTACAAAATTTTGATTTCAGTAAAGCAAACTATGTTTTTTTTTTTTTTTCCTCAAAATACACGTTTTCGACGAAATTAAACAATTTAATTACTAATACTATTATAATTTTTACTTTTTTAAACACACCAAAGCATTCCTACTGCAACTAAAATAAAATTAACTAGATTTAAATTTAACTAGATAATTAACTATTCTCCAAAACTGAGTATATTATCTTGTCATGTTTTTACTGGATTAAAATTGAAAAAAGGAATCATCTTTTATTTATGGAAAAAAAAAAAAAAAGGGTGAAACATGGAAAATACAAAATTACAATACGACACTTTTAAGTGTGGTATACATTCATCTAAATTAATTTAATGGCTCATTAAAAATGAAGTTTTTAAAATACGTCTTACCATTTTATGTAATTTAAAAATAAATTAAAACTCCTAAATAAACTAACAACAAATTAATTTACTTGCATTGGGAAGATAAGCGATACCGATCGTTAGAGTTCTGAATGTCATGAGGTCTGAATAATTGGAATATTGCTGTACATCTGTATGAATTTCATGAACTAAACATTTGTACCTAAACATTTGAATAGGATTAAAAAAAAAAAAAAAAAAAAAAAAGTGCTAAATTTGGAATGAATGCTTCACCATACTTTATTACTTTCCTAGATGAGCTCTAGTAGGATCATAATTCCGGACTACCGGCTAGCTGCATGGATTGTTTTATAATTTACTTATGTGTTTTAATAAAACAGGTCAATTTCAGCATAAAATAAGAAAATTTCCCTTAGAAATCGCCCATGAAGCAACACTTCCTAGAGATACACCCCTCGAATTTTTTATGTAATTAATTAGCAAATTTTTTTCAAGATTATAATTAAGTTCCAAAATAGCTGATTTATATGATTTTTTTAATGTTTTTAATTAATTATACGTAAAAATGATCTAATTTAGTCTTCGATTTTGCAAAGTTTTATAGCATTTAATTCCAACTATTTAGTTAGTAGTTTATATAATTCTTTTTTAAATGACGAAAGGAGGATAGATCTTTCCTACTAATAATCGTTACGAACTTTATTCGGTTGAAATTTTATTTCAATTTTGTTAATTTAAAAAAATTACTTATTGCTGAATTATTGTTATTAATTATTAATTATTTAAAAAATTAATATCAAATTTTATTTGATATCAGATTCGAAAGAAATTTATGTTACCTATGATATGTGAAAACTTTACTTTTCATTGTTTCTAATTTGTAGTTATAAGTCTGTTCTTTACAATTCTGGGTATATCTTAAACTTCGGTTGATTCGACTAAATTTTGCTTCCCTGTTTATAATACACCTTTAAAATTCAAGGGCAATTTAAATTTAGAACTAAGTCCAGCCTAAACAAATATATACTAAAAATATTTACCGCTCTTCAAATTAGTGTACTGATGCTTATTAAATTCTGGGGTAAATTAGTAAGAAACACTGGATCGTTTCTCATAACAATGCTTAATTTTCGATCCATTTCTGGCTCTGATTAAGGTACACTAAAAGATTTACACTGCTTGTACTATTTCGAAACTAGTTTGGGTAGTTATGTACTGTTTGTTGAACCCATTAAAAACTGGTGATTATTGTTATACTATGATAATACGTGCACCCGCAAGTTTATTCGGAATAAATTATTTTCTAGTTTCTGCAGAAAAACAAAGAGGGGATAATATCCAGGAATATTAATTAAAAAAATGTGTCAGTTTTTTTCTGAGGGTAGTATTTAGCCTGTCGTATTATCCCGCATGTTTGAAGTAATGGTAAGTTACTCGTTGCTCGCAAATGTGAATTGGAGTTGAAATATTTGTAGCGGGTTTTCATGATGTGTTAGTTCTTTTCTTAGTGCTTTTTTAAATCAGGAAACGTGAGGATAAGATACTTCCTGTTACTCATTCATTACACTGAGTGTCGCTTCAACAAGCTCATTGATAAGACGCACGCATCCTTATCGGATACAGTGGACGAGTTTTTGAAGCTGTAGCTTCCACAAACCTTAATTGTTCTTAGTTAATTGTTCATCAAGTACTTAGACCTCGAGATGGTATAGAAGGTTGACATAAAAAGCTTCAGGGAAAAAAAAAATATTTTCTTCTCCATTCTACGCATTTCACCTGAATTCTTAAAACATACTTATTATTATAGGGTGGGGTTGGTTTTGCGACCAACCGCATCTGTTAGTAAAGAAAATCATTATTTGCGTCAGCCTGATACAAAAAGATAGAACTTAGTAGAAATTTGACAAAACTGCATACGCAGATGCGCTTCCAGCATTTAAGGATGTTTAAACTATGAAAGTCCATTTATTTAATGTTCATTCAAAACATACGTTTCATCAATTCGCCAATCTCATGTATGATTCAATATTTGAATACAGTTACACTGAATGCTCTACCCATTCTGAAGAAAGAAGGATTATTAATTACTAAATCTGATTGATAACTAAGGTATGTTTTATCTGTTCTGTTTTGATAAGATGGAATAATATTTTTAAGTCACCTCAGTATTCAGTGTTCTGGCAAGCATGTAATGACTAGAAATTTTGTTCAGCATTGAAATCCAGTAACTTGCTACATGTAGTCTATCCTAATGTTAATGTACTGATTTCTAGTTATATTATAAATCTGTTAATTTAAAAAAAGAGCTAGTATTTTTGCCCCTTAGAAAATACTTTAGAATGCGATAAGAAGCCTACTATAGAAAATACTTTAGAAGGCGATAAATCATTGACTGATCTATCGATTTCATTTTGCTTTGTTTAAAAAACAAAAAGCAAAACAAAACAGTAGTTTTCCGTTGCAGTAGATTTGTTTCCTTTAACTTGGCTCTCTTACGGTTTAAAATTTTGAAATTACTCCTTTAAAGCTTTCGCTATTAATTTTTTGGCTGTGTGTAACATAGGTTCTGCTATCCGTAAAATTGTTGAAACATTGCATCGCTTTATAATTAATTTCATGCATTATTTTATTGTTGATTTAGTTACTGAATTAATCTGTAATTATCATTCTTTATGGCTTTTAGGGTTTCCCTTAGTTTACTAACCAGTTATTTTAATTTTGGTACGTTTCCCGAATTTTCTATTTTCCTTTGCACTTCCTCGCCAGAATGCAAATTAAACGGGTGAAGGAGAGTATTTAAACGGTTGACATGAATGGTTTAGACACAGCGTGATTTCGCTAATAGCGCACGTTGTTATTTTGCCCTCCCGCTATCAGGCGCACCGGCGGCCGAGCGGTAAAATCGCTGGACCCTGGTTTTTCGATTCGAGGTTCGAATCCCGCGAACGAACTGAGCGTTTTCGTGGTTTTCTTCATGTGTATATGAGCCTGTTACTTTAAAAAGTCCACGAAGGCCTCCATCCCATTAGGCAAATAGCTCTCGAGGTTTTCCCGTACTCACATAAAATAAACCAAATTTCCAGCTGTTAACTTGGCAGCGGCGCTATGTATTCTGGCCGTTTAGTTAGTCTATTGCCAGTGTAGATAGCTGAGTCAGCCTTAGTCAGCCAGCGGTTAAATTAAATTATGAAGTCTAGTACTCGAATTTATTGTTAAACTTGCCTTAAGTTTTCACCGCAAGTAGTCAGCATTTTTGTGAGCACGATGTCTGTTAAAGAGTTATGATAAATAAAAAATGGCTTTTTCCACCCTTCATGTGTTGTGTTACTTTTCACGCCTGTGTGAAAAGTCGCCTGGCTAGACTTGAGATTTAGACGCTTTGTATGATAGTAAAGAAGGTTAGATCTTATAGGTTCATTTTATTAAATTTAGCTGCACTGAATGTGAAATCGAGTAATCTATACAATATGTCGTGCAGATAGTCATCATGAGTATATTATGCCTGTTATAAACTGGAAAAACTCATATTCTTCATGCGGATATTATGCCTGTTGAAAACTGGAAAAATTCGTATTCATCACGTGGATATTATGCCTGCTGAAAACTGGAAAAATTCATACTCATCATACGGATGTTATGGCTGTTGAAAACTGGAAAAATTCAAATAAGCGGTTTCGAACTAGCAACATTCTTACCTCTTTAATCGTCGGTGTGGAATTAGAAACTAATAAGTAATCCACAGAAGCTGTTTTACGTTTGCTGGGATTTTTAAATTTTTACAATGAGTGATAAGTTTTGTCAGATAACTTTCTATTAAAATTTTTGTAAGAGTTGCATAGTAATTACAGTTTTCTATTTTAAGGTAATAAAGATTAGTTATTCTTTGCTGCACTGCAAACTTTAAATCTATAATTTCTTTCTGTTCTGTAACTTGAGCAAATTTGGAAAGTACAGTATGTGAAATAATAATACACCTCGAGTTTCATAAATTTAACTTGAAATGAATTTGCAATGAGTCAGTATTTCCTGAAAGTGTTCATTATATTTAACTAATTTGAAAATTTCTTTTTAACCGATCTGATATGCAAACTATATCCAAAGAGCCAAAGTAGTTTAAAAATTTCAGTCATCTTATTTTTTACGTTAAAGGAAATCATTCATTTTCTCCTTCCTTAAATTATCCTACGGTTCTTATGATCACATATTGGGGTATCAAAACAATTTTCAGCATTCTTGCGTTTATTCAATATGCCTGTTATAATTTTGTATAACTATGCAACTTCATTTTGGATATATTGTCGTCTATTTCGAGATATGCTAACTTTTCACTAAAGGATTGATTTCTTAGCTTCGCAACGGCAAATTATTCACAATGAAGAAATGCGGTTTGATTTCTGAAGTTCTATAAATTAAGTTATATAGATATTAAGTTCTATAAATATTCTTCTTATGTTCTATAAATTTACAAGGAGGTATTGAGCTGCATATGTAGATCGATATATAGATTGGATGGTTACTTAATTAAGGTCAAGCCCACCAAAGCTAGCTATTTGCCTAAACAGAAATATTTTTGAAAGGAAACTGACTTGTACTTAGTTACACTTGAAGAAAATCATGAAAAACTTTGCAGTTTCTGGTTGTACCATTTTTGGCTATTAGAAAGCAAACTTCAAATACAGCACAGTATTTGATAAGGATGCAACTAAAGAAAGAAAAGTGCAAACATTTTTGTGAAGTTTAGGTTCGCAGATCGGAATTTCGAAGATGCACTACATAGCCTTCGAATATTGGTATGATCACCTGAACAAACTGGTAGATGCTAATTCGAGGAGTACTTCGAGGAGTCAAATGACGTGAAATTTCTTTAACCGGTGTATGGAAAAACGTCACCTGGAAGATATAAAGCCTATAGAGACTATCAGTTTTAATACAGGGAAGGAGAGTTTAATTCCCGCATAAACCTTGACTATTTTTAACGTTCGCTGGGCGTGTAGTATCACTGTGCTGTATCCTAGGCAGCATCTCGGAGTTGGGACAATAAACTAATGCACTGATTCAAGCAATCTCCCGCTGAACGCTTAAGAGCAACTCCCGGCCGTCAGAAATGAGGATGAAGGGTATAGATCGGACGAGAACCAGTACTTTCAGCATGGTATGGCCGTTGACTGAAGGGTGTATTTCTTTGCATTAAGGAACGAAAAGAATGGGAAAAAATGCTTTATGCCTGCAAATTTGAAGTGGGGGGGTCTCCGCTGCTTCTGCGGAGGAACAACAAAAACAACAACTAAGAAAAGACCATTTTTTTACTTCCTTGTACTAAGTAAAGGAAGTATTGTAATTGTGAAAGATTTCGGGTATCTTATTTCAACGAAATTATCAGTTTCAATCGCTTTCGAAGCCATTTGAACGATGTTTTTGTTGACATCTATAAGTACGGACAGAGTAATGGATTGTTTTTGCCAAAAGGGATTGCAAAAGATTTAAAATGCATTTAGTAGAGATTTTTATTTTTTTACATCTATACGTACGTACGTATGTATGTATGTCGCATAACTGAAGAACGAGTAGCCGTAGAACGAGTAGGAATTTTGTGTATGGGGCTGCTGTAACACGTAGTTGTGCACCTCCCGTTTCCGTTGCAATCGAATGCACCAATCGTAAATATATATATATATATTATATTACTTTTGATTTTGCGCTTTTTTTTTTTTTTTTTTTTTTTACAATTAGGATTTTTCTTTACAGATTTTATGTTTTTAAAGCATCGGGTTTTAGAAAATACTATTTAAAAGCTACTTAAAACCTGACTAAATTTTTAAAATTTTTCGTGTTTAATTGAATTTCTGTTCCTTGGACATTTATGAAATTTTCTCTTATAAATGTTCGCTTATATATATATAATATTATAGATATATCCCACTCTGTTACCCTGCTCGGTGACTAGTTTTTTTATTCCTATATGTTGTAAATGTGCAGTTTTTTTTTTTTTTTTTTTTTTTTTTGCTTCAAAGTGTTTTAATTTTTGTGTTTTTATGTTCCTTTAAGGTTTTATACCTTGTGTTTAATCTTATGCACTGTTGTAGAATTTTAACAATTTAAAAACCTTAAGTGCGATAAGCTAATGCCCGCTTTTTGTTTGCATGAACTCATAGAATATTACTAAGTTATTTTCCGCCCTCAATGTCGTCTGCCGCGTGGACCAAAAGAAACTTTCAGTTTTGTTCACCAAATCTGCCTTCTTGACCGCGCCGATTGCTGTTTGCATAGAAACTCTAATTTTATTGTAAAAATTGTTTTTTTTAAACTGTAATTGGTTTTTATTGTTTTTTGATTTTTTAATTTTTTTAATGAAGAAGTTTGAAGTTTATGTAATTTTTGATTTCTCTCGAAGTGAGAACTGAATTAATTGAATGAGAAGTTTATCTGTAATGAAATTCGGGGAAATACTTTTAAGTGAAATGCAGAAAAAAATGTGTAATTTAATAGGCCATATAAGGAGGTCACATGGTGTCCACCTCAGATTTTTTTGAATGGATAATGGCATGTGATCAAAAATTAATCTTTTATAGAAATGAAAAAAGTTCAGCATAGTGATTAGACGGGACTGAAACTGCTCAGTTTTTTCCTCTAAAAAACCTACTTCTCATAAGAACCAAGTTATTCTTAGAGTTTGGTAGCACTCGACCAAATTAATTCTTTATTCGCTTTCTAAGACTTAGTGCAATAGCATTTTAGAGTCAAATGCTAATGATTTAGAAGGTGACCGTTTAAAACTGAAAACTAAACATTCTTCAACAGAAAAAGCTTTATTGAAATTGATAAGAATGTCAGATCACATGCTGCAAGCATGAATTTACAGAAAAGGATGCTGAAGTTCCATCTCACCACCCCCATTCTCCTGATTACCTTTTATTATTATTTTTTTTTTCTCTTTGGACAGTTTTATGTAAGAGAACTCGTCTTTATTCACGTGAGATAAGTTTGTATGTTAGAGTGGAAATATCAGCTTTGAAAGGTTCATGCCTTAGATTTAGCTATTAGAAGTGGAAGAAATTTTCTTAATCATCCCATATTTTATAAGCTATCAATTTCATTTCGGAATAACCTAT